AATATAAATATTTTTTTCTCAATTTTTAATGATTTTATAATAATTATTAATGAATTTTTTTAAAAATATAATTATTTTAAAAAATTCTCTTTCAATTTTTTGATGATTTGATAATAATAATTAATTATTTTAACTTAAAAAAATATAAAAAAATAATTGTAAAAGAAATTATATTTTTACTTTTAAGTTGACACGTATTGTTAATTGAATGATCATACATTAATCGGCTAATGAAAATTGATCAATCTGATAAAAATAATTAATGAATGAGCTGTTTATATCAATGTCTAATAGAATAAAATTTGTTCTAAATAATATCTGAGTAGAGGGGCTACAACAAAATTTTCAAAATAGCATAGAAGTATGAGTGTATTTAACCCCTCAAAACGAGCTCAAAAGTAAGTATCAATAGTTATTTTTTAAAAATTTTAAAATTTCTATAAATTAGTCATGTCTCTTTTCTTTTTTAACATTATATACAAAATACTATTGTTTGATTCTCCTTTATAATAAATAAAGGGTAGGTTTAGAGTAGGAAAATATATAAACCCTAGCTTCAATAATGGTATAGTGTTAGTGTGTGTATATATATATACTTTTTTTCAAAAAAAATTTTGATAATTGAATTACCTTAATTATTCAATCAGAGAGATTCTAATTAACGTGAGATACACTTACGATCCTCATCCATATATTCTTTTTGACTAAGGTATTACAAACTCGAGTTAAATTTTTAAACTTCCAAAGAGAGAGAGTGTGTGCAATAGTATAGTGTAGATTGCTTTGAAAAATATTGAGATTGCTTTTGTTTTTTTTATCAGGAGGCCCGTGGATTGTGTACTACATAATGAAGGATAGTACTTCTCCATCGTATAATAATTAAATAAATTAGAATTATTCAATCTCTTTGTCAAAGAAATCTACCAGATATACAACCCCTAGCTTATTCACACTTGTGTGAAACGAGAGTCGTTGTTGATAGCAAATAATTCCTCACAAACATTTAAAGATGCGCAAGAGTCTGCATATACCAATAAATACCCCACCATTTCTTTTTTAATATGAAAACATAATATTATTAAATATCATATTCGTCACAAGTACACCAATGTTTTCATACTACAATTATAGTAAATGTTTTTTTTTTTTTCACTTGGATATATTTTATAGTTATTTTGTCATTGTCTTTTTTGTGATGGACAAAGTTTCGATATTCTTTATCATTATTTAAAGGTATTTATTAAGAACTAAAAAGTATAGCAATTATAGATAACACTCCTTCCAAAGTTAGATCCTCCAAAATATTTTATTTAAAAAATATGTATTGTGGAATATAAAATTTTGAACCAAGTGAACTTAAAATAAAATTCTTCAAGCATAGATTTCCTTTTGTCTTTTTTTTTAATAGTCTTTTTTCTTCTTATTATTTTCAAAGAAACATAAAAAAAAATTAAATTTAAAAATTATAGAATAATTAAAATACATATTTAATATGGTCATGATAGAGTAGAAATATGTGAAGTTAGGATAACATCATGGATATAGTTATTAAAAGAGTTTTCTACATATACAAAAATTCAAACTCGAGATCATTTATTTATTTATTTATTTTATTTTTTTGAAAACGAGGACGGTACCTTGAAAATATATTAATATCAAAGTGAAAAAAAAACAAAGGGGAGATAACTCCGACTGACCCAACAAGTCGGGAGGACAAAAAAACCTAACCCCTACTCAATAAACATATGATAAACCGAACAAAAGCTCCTAAACATACCAACGGAACTCGAGTTCTTTACATCATAGTCCTAACTATAGTCAAGTCAACTAATTCGGACCCGAGCGATAATTGAATATACCATTCCCGTCATTTAATATCGCCTTGCGCCAAGATAAAGGTAGTTCTTGCAACGCAAAAGTGATTCTACTTAAGTGATGAAAAAAGGCCCAATCGAAAGCTTGTCGATCGCAATATTTCCTTGTATGTGAATGTGCTTGAATTGTAATAGAATGAGAATTCATTGCCCAACACTCTCTAAAGATGTAGGTTAGTCACCAAGGAATTGAGGATGCGCAAGACAACCCCCCTAATATCATAGTCGAGTCACTTTCTATTATATTAGGAGAAAGATGATGCAATTTATATAATCGAAGGCCGTCTAAAAGAGCTAAAGCTTCACCTTTTGAGTTAGTACTCGTCCCAAAAAGCCTCGAGTATGCCATAATGAGATTCTCTGTCTCATCTCTCAATATGCCACCACCAATACGGACATTAGCCCTAGAGGCTCCATCTATGTTTAATTTCAATTTACCAATGAGGGAAGTTGCCAACGGACCCAATCGCCTCGATAGGAATAATGACTCGAATCCGTATACCCAAAGCACTAATGCAAAGGTTATCATGGAATGACATTTCATGCCTTGGCTTAAACAAATTTGACAATTCATTGAGCCAATGCAATACCTTATGTTTGATTGATACTAAATTCATGAATTCCTCCTCAAACACAGCTACTGTTTCTAGCTAACCAAATCTCCCACACCGGACAATTGAAAACAATTATTCGAGGAAAAGGTTTCGAGCAACAATGTTACCTTTAGAAAGCCAAGCCGATACTAGTTGTTTAACGAGTGATAGAACCAAGAGCCACGTCTAAAATATTACCAAAAAAAGACCAAAGCATACCTGCTATTTCACCATGCGAGAAGAGGTGGTTCGTTGATTCTATTTGATTAGATCTGCAGCGAGAGACATTTAGAAACCAACGAGATACCACACTTTTGAATGTTTTGATCCACTTCTAATACATTATGGAGGAATCTCTAGACAAATACTCCAATTTTTTGAGGTAGCCATTTGTTCCACAAACGAGTGCCACCATTCAAATTTGGGAGCGATATCTCCGTGAGCTTCATAGTAATCCTTCGATTTAAACGGACCAGTTTTAGATACTCGATAGCACGGAGTGTCTAGTGAGCTATCATCTAGGTGCAACAAGTCTAACTCCTTTCTCACCCCCGAACTGGTAGCATTTGGTAAATAGAAGGATCCTTTTTTGCTCGAGATCATTGATTTAAACGACTAGATATCATTATGTTTAAGCCAATCCTCTTTAATATAATTACTACAATATGCCTATTACTTTAGTATTTCCTTCTCCGTGATCAGTGGAGCTTTTAAAAATTAATTAAACAACATGACTCGTTTACTATAAAGTCAGGTCTCTTTTATTTGTAAAAAAAAAAAACTTTTTCATAGAATATCGAGGGGAGATTGGATACATAGATGGTCTGAACATGGTGTTGATATATTATATATAAGAAGAAGAAAAAGTAACATGGTTTTATAAAATAATGAGGGGAGGTGCCAGATGCTGCTAACTTTACATGGAAAAAAAGTTTATATAAGTAGGTCCTTTATGACTAATTGAATATGAATCTCTCTTTTTTCTGCATTATACATATATTTTATTTCGTTTGGAGTATCAAAATACTATTGTTTGTTTCAATTTTGTTTTGTTCTTCTTTTTTTTTTTTTTTTTACCGAATTTCATATTGACTATTTTTGTATGCTATTTTGTTCAAGTGAATTTGCTTTTAATATATATATATATATATATATATATATATATGTGTGTGTGTGTGTGTGTGTGTGTGTAAGTTTAAATTTTTTTCATTCATTAAGGCAGTAGGGAATACCTTTGCAGAAGTCCGGCACCCTTCAAAATTTTCATATATATAAATATATAAGTAGTAGAGTATTTTTGGATAAATTTTTGAATCAATCGAGATTAATTTCATTATTTTTCAGGCTATACTAACGTTAGAATAAGCTTAATCTTTAATCTATTGCTGAACTGTCTCTTAGGCCAAACGATCTAAATCTAATTACTATTAAAAGATAATTATGACATTATTATACAACTTTCCACTGGAAGTCTTTAAATGGATGAGTCGTAACTCATAGCTTTGTAAAATTATTAGGATTTTTCTTTTTCTTTTTTTGATGAATCAGAAAGACTAAGCTCTAAACAAAAAAAACATACTTTTATAAAAACATCGAAAAACAACTTCACAAACATCTTCTTGAAAGAGATTACTACAACGAAGCATGCTTCAAATAGAAAATGTGCAAAGGAAGGGAATAAGCACAAGAGGATTTACTTTTTTTAATAACCAGAAACTGATCACTTTTCGGCCAATTTGATGGGTACAGATGGGTCTTAGAATTTATTAATGCTCCTTGTGAGTGTATGTGCACTTTCAGTCTCATTGGCTTAAGAAGTTTCGCCAATTAATTGCTTGACCAAAAAAATAATGATAGAGGTTACATTTATACGGATAGCACTTTTTTTGCGATAATCAAGTACTGACTCTTCGTCGTACCTTGCAGGGTGGTGTGGTGACTGCAAGAAAATCTGTGCAGATACAAACACTTTCAAAGATAATGATGTTGCACTTGATGCGTTTTAGTTATGGAAGCCAGGGGAGCGCCAAGCTGCTCAAGCCTGTGCACTTTCCATTTGAATTTGTGCTGAGTCGGGAGTTACTTGTTTCCCCTTGAACAGAACTAACCACCTTGCATCTTTTTTCTTTCTCTCGTATTGCATAATCTTTGTTGAAGAAATCTAGCTCCACTTTCAACAAATTATGACCCTTTTAATGGGGAAATGAAGAGTGACCGTGAGTTTTGTATATCGTTTTTCTTCAGACCAACCTGGAAACTTCCTGCTCATTTCTTAACTCTATTTGTCAATTATGCACTTTGGCACATACGTTATTGTAGATTTGAAAATCAACATTCTGTCACACACTCACACATTGTTCTCGGTGTTAAGCAACCGATTGTTTTAAAGCTTGAAGCATGAAAATATGCTTTTACTAGTGTTTGTAAACGTGTCAAACATTGTAGTTACTTTGGATTTGACAGAACCAAACTTTCCTTGATTGCTTACTCCTTTTATCATAATCCTAAAATCTTGTTTTCTGCAAATACAACAATGTCCGTTGGGGAGGTATTACTAGCAGCATTTGTGGGATACTGTTTACAATTAAAATTGTCAGCTCCTGAGTTGTGGAAGTTTATAAGCCAAAAAAGCTTACGGAAACAGCTTGTGAAGTGGAAAAAAACATTACAGATGCTTCAGGCAGTGGCGGATAAAGCAGAAGAGAAGCAACTGACAGACCAGACTGTAATAATGTGGCTGCATGATCTCAGAGAATTGGCTTATGATATTGAGGACAGTCTCGATGAGTTTAGCACTACTAAGGTACGAAAACAGGTGAGTGGTGACTGCTAGTTTTACTAGTCTGAATCCAAGTTCTGTGAAGTTCAATGTTAGAATGAGGTGCAAGATAGGGGGGATCACTAGTCTGTGGCCTGATACTTACGACCGAGTTGCCAAACTTGGTCTCCAAAGGAACCAACAGGGTCCATCTACAAATTTATGGCAAAGAACAGAGAGCAGGTGTTTGCCAAATGGAGCTGGAATGTTTGGCAGGGATGAAGATACGAAGAAGATCCTGGAATTGATTCTGCACAACGCAACCAATCACGATGCCAGTTTTGACGTCATTCCTATTGTTGGGAAGGCAGGAGCAGGTAAGCCAACGTACGCTTGCTCAGGTTGTACACAACCACAAAGCTGCTAACCAATTTCATGCTCTAATCCAAGATATGAATGGGAAAAGATACCGGATAGAAAATTATGGAACTTACCAGACGAAAGTGACATTCTCTCAGTTTTACGATTGAGCTATCATCATTTGCCTCCACATCTAAAGAGGTGCTTCTCCTACTGTGCAGTAATCCCGAAAGGCTATGAATTTGAGGAGGAAGAGCCAGTCCTTCTATGGATGGCAGAAGGTTTTGTATATTGTAGCAAGAAGTTAGCTATTGTGAAACTGTATTCTCTTTTAGTATTTGCATAATCGATGTCAATTACTCTTCCAATGAACTGAACAAAAAAGTGGATAAGATGATGACAAAATGGATGGAATGCATTTTTATCTTGTTTCTTTTAATTTAACCTGAAAGTAAAACTAGTTATTTCCCAGTATTTGAAAATTGATACCAGACTTTATTCTGTCATTGTCCAAATAACATACACTCAAAGAGCCAGCTGCCTGCTAGTATAATAAGCAAGAAGATGATGATCTGGGTAGCATGTTAATGTAATTAAGAGTTCAGGTAGTTACACATTTCTTCTCTGTTCCCTTCTTTCTGTTGGCTTCTTTTTCTGGTTTATGTTCTTGAGAAGATTTGTCAATTTCATGATCATTAACTGCCAGAATATCGATTGTCAAATACTGATGTAACAGTGGTTTTCCAGATCTTCTGAGCTCCTGCAAGTTGATATTGGCCCATCTCAATAATCTTTCTGAGCCTTAATTCCTGGTCCAGCCAGTGGTTTTCCAGATATGACTATTTTCGGAAGCAAGTGCAGATGCTTCTTAGTTCCCATCATCATTCCATAATCTTGGATTTTCATGTCACTAATCGATCCCCTACTTTTGCAGTCGTAAATGTTCTGTGCTGGCTGATAAAAGCTTCTGTGAAAGCATGATGAATTTTAACACTGCTGTGATGGACTTAAGAAAGACTTTGGACTAATTCATGAAGAGTTTTATCCTTTGTATTGATCGATTACTGTATCTTGGACCCAACTAACATCTCTCTCGGGATTTCTTTAATTGAAAAACGGATCAATGATTGCACTTTTTTTCCTTAATCTTGTTCATTTATATTTGGTTTTAGTACAATACTAGTTTTTTATCCACATTATACACTACGGATCGAATAAAATACATAAAATTATTTTTAAAAAATTATTTCATTTTGATATTTTATGTTATATTATAAGTCTATCAAAATATATTAAATTAAAACGAAACAAAAATTCATTCAATTTTATAATTTTTTTAATCAAATTTTTGTATTTGACTAATTATTTTTTATATTTTCATAAATTTTTTATTAAAAATATTTTTTATTTATTCTTATCTATATTTTTAGTTAAAAACTTATTTTGTAAATTATTATTTTTAACCATCTTCTTACCTTAAATTTTTAATTAAAAAAAATCAGAGAAAAAAACAAAGATCAAAATAACTAAAAAAAAAAAAAAAGAGGGACCAAAATAAAACTTTAAAAATTGAGGATTGAAAAAATAATATTTAAAAAAAGAAAAACCAAAGTATAATGTTATGAAAACTTTCATAATAAATGTTTTTAAAATGTTTGAAAACTATAAAAATATCACTCTATAGTGAAAAGAATAATGTATCCGAATCCGAATGAATAATAAAATGATTATAGATGAATAGCGTTTTAAATAGTATAATAAATAGTAAACTATGGTTTTACTTTAGGTTTTTTTTTTTGTTAATAATGCGATACATTTCAAATGTTTTACCAAATCAAAAAAAAAAAAAAAAAAAACTAAAACAAAGAACTACATAAATACCTGAAAACCCTATCATAATTTTATTTTTATTTTTATTTTTATTGCTAATTGTTCATTTCTAGATTTGAATAAAAAAATGAATGGCCTAAATGAAATAATTCAAATTTAGGGAAAAAAAACTTATAAAAAAATCATAACCTCAACCATGAATTTCACTCGTTGAGTGCAGGGATTAATTATTAAAAATAAAGGAACTAATTAATTCTTTTTGAAAAACTAGAAAGACTAATTATAATTTACTCTTTTTTATTATTGTTAGGGCAATTTCTCAGAATCGATAATAGGGAAGTCGGAAATTTCCAAGCAGCAAGCCAAGATGAACATCCCACATGCCAATTGTTAGCAAAATTAAAAATGGACTGAAGTTAGGTACTTGGGTCTAGTATTAGGCCCAAATGATGATCAGCTCTTGTCATGTGAATTTGTGTGTTAATTGAGTAGGCCCATAACAAATAGAAGGATGAATTTGCATGTTAATTGAGTGGGCCCATAACAAATAGATGGATCATCTTATTGCATTCCCACAGTTATCTAAAATTTGAATGGGACAGGAAAGATCATAAAATTCTTTCACCATGGAAAAGCTAAAAAATCATGAATATTTACTTCAGTGGGTTTTTTTAAAGGTGCAGAAAGACCTTTCAAAATTCAAAATTGTGGTAAACCCAGTTTACAAACTTGAAAACAAGAGTTAGCCTAAAACCCTACAAAAGAAGCAAACTTTAGCATACTATTGGACCGAATTTAGCAATATACACATACATGACACAAACAGAAAAAGAAACCAATAAAAGATAGAGGGAGGAGTTGAAAGAAATATCGATTTAGAAAGAGGAAAAGGAGCTTTAGTTACCTCTTGATATCGATTTGAATACTTGGGAGAGAGGAGAGTGTTTTACGCAGAAAAAAGACTCTGGCTCGAATAGAATATAAGAAGAAAGAAATGATCTAATTTAATTAATAGTTTAATACTTTTAACTGAAAAATAATAAATAAATATGTATTATTATCAATATATAATTAGTTCTTAATTTAAATATTTTTAGCAAAACTCAAAAATATCCCCCAACTATGTAGATAGCGTTAATTTTCTCTCCGAAACAATTGTTGTTTCAATGTTCTCTCAAATTCTTGAAATTTTTAATTAACATTTTCCATCTAAATTGTACTTTTATATGTAAAAAAAATGTCATTTTTTAAGGAATTTAATGTTTTCTAATAAAAATTTTATAATATAAGGGTCTAATTGAGAAATTCAAATTGTTTTGAGACAAAATTGATAGAAAAAATTATTTGAAGGTAATTCTAATACCATCCCAATAGTTGAGGGGTATATATTTGAGTTTGCCCAAAAAAATTTTAGAACCAGTAGATAATCTAAATTTTGCCTCCAAAACAATTATTGTCTTAATTTTGTCTCACAAGTTTCACAAATTTTTAATTAAGATTTTTCATACATGAATTCCATCTAAATTGTATTTTTATATGTGAGAAATAATGTCATTTTTTAAGAAATTTAATATTTTTTATTTAAAAATTTTAGTATAAGGGTCTAATTGAGAAATCAAAATTGTTTTGAGACAAAATTGATAGAAAATATTATTTGATGGTAATTTTGATACCATGCCAATACCTAAGGGGTATATATTTGAGTTTGCCCAAAGAATTTTTAGAACAGGCATCATGTGTATTCTGCCGTTTGCCCTTTCCTCAGTCCTCGCTCTCTCTCCCTCTCTGACAAAACTCAAAACGACCACTGACCACCAGCCAAGCCACCACCCATCACCCACCAGCGTGAGAGAAAGATTTTGATGCCCAATTATGCAGAGAGAATCAGTTGTTTTTTTTTATGATTTGATCAAACAAAACCAACTGAATCTGATGAGTTTTAGTTCTATAGTGATCAGTCAAGAAAGCTTTAGATTTGATGTAAAAAGGTTGGGATCAACCTTTTTCATCAGCCAAAAAGGTCCAAGAATCAATCTTGGTGGAAATGGAGCCATTATAGTTTTGTCTGATTCAAAGGTTGCACCTTGAAATATACTATCTGTCAAGTGAAAAAAAAAAAAAAATGAAATATCAAAGTAAATTTCTTTGGGATCTTGGAAAAGGCACAAATACAAGTTTTTATTTATTTATTTATTTATTATCTCAGTAAATTATAAAATTAGTTCTTCTAGTTTTACAAAATAAACTAAATAATTTCTCTAATTTTAAAAATTAATAAATAATTCCATCACTAGAATTTTTCTTTCTTTTTTATTTAAAAAAAAAATTAAAAAGAAGAAAAAAATTAAGTTACAATTAGATTTAAAACCAAAAAAAAAAAAAAAAAAACAAACCAACTAGTTTTTGAATCTAGAAAGAATATTTAATTATTATTTTTCAAAACTAAGGGAAATAATTTATAATTTATTTATTTTATTTATCTGGTACAAATACATCCATGTGCGAGGAAAATAAAAAAAGAAAGCACATCTATATCTCTACATGAAGATTAAGTGGGCTAAACAGGCTAGGATATATGGGCTAATGGATCTTGTATCTTAGTCTTCGGCCCATAGGCATAGCACCTACCCTATTAACTGAAACTGACTGAAAGTTAGCAGCAAGTTCCCATTCACATGACTTCAAAGAGCAGGCTTCTTTTCTGGGCTTCTAGGCCTTTTATCTTGGGCAAATGGGCCTGTTTCTAATGAAATATATTTTGAATTAATCGAGCCATCTTAATTCACGACTTCATAGACTCTCTCTTTACACACACACATATATATAATTCATATGTGTCGTATATATAAAATTCAGATGTATGTCTAAACGATATCAGAAAATTATAAAATTTAGAACATATCTTAAAGATTGTAAAACATATTAAAATTTCAGACAAAAATAACATCAAGAACTAGCTTAAACTACTAATAAACCGAAATAATTCATGGAAATACCTCATATACGACGCAAGCAAAATAAATCCAAATGCATGGCCAAACGATCTCATAAAATTTAACACATAATTAAAAGGCACATATATCTATAACATACTAAAAATTCAGGTTAAAATCACACCAACATATCTCCCAATGCATGATTGAATTGACTGGCCCCTATCCCCGATATAGTGTTGATTTTGCTCTTATTATTTGAATTAAAGGATTCAATTGTAAAATTCAGTCATATTGAGTTATC